GTAATTAATTCAGAAAATCTTTTCAGGACCCCAACTTGATGTTTCAGGACCCCACTTTGGGTCCTGACCCCAACTTTTGGGAACCATTGATCTAGAGGACCGACTCAACTTTTGTTTATTTATTTATTTATTTATTTATTTATTTAGAATATGAGCCTGCATTTCAAAAGTTAGCTAAGCATCTGAAACCATATTTGTATTCTGACACAAGAGTCAGAAATACTTGTACTGCTCAAGAGGATATCCTTTTGGATTTTTTTTTCTAAACTTCCCGTAGAAGGCACAGAACACAAATTATGATCAATGGTTTGAAAGTTTTGCAAAAATACCATGGTGCAGAGCTCGTTTTTATCTTTTAATCCAAAATTTAAATTTTTACAAGAGTGGATGACACATGACCTAATTGTTCATTTTTAGCTTMATTGTTTTCTAAGCATAACTGAAACTGCAGTTGTGCTGGGTGTGTCTGGCAGTCTGAGCCCCAGTGAGTCAAGCCCTCATGGCCAGACCATGGGGAAGTTAAACTGCTTCCTCTGCCTTACAACTAGACATGCTTTTTTATTTTATTAAATGAAGCATTTGGTCAGAATGCAGACATATAGATGCATTTCCAAAATGTTATCATGTTGTTTTTTTCTGTATGAGTTTTATTTTCAGTATTGTTTATCAGTATTGTAGCTGTTGGAGGGTGTCAGACCAGTGGGGTCATTTGAATCAATAAAAGYGTGAAGACAAATGTGCAAATGTCAAGCATGTGGCACTAAGCGTGCTTACAACATTCAAAAATGGTTTCTTCCCATCCAAAAATGTGTGACTGACTAAAAGGTGTGAAAACCACATTATAACGGTTGTGCACAGGCTGTGATAGACATCCTAACAATAGTATTTCTGAACAAACAATATCCTTTCCATTATTCATTTATTTTTAACTAAAGTAATATTTTTAGTAATTTGTATTAGTGAAAAATAAGTTTTCAAGCACATTTTTGTGTTATTTTTAATTTAGTTCCAGAACCACTGACTCTTACAGTAAACAGAAATTCACAGGTTCAAAAACATTTGTAAACTGACAGTCCTTTTAAATTTTTTTGTATTAATGTCTGTAAAAAAGAAAAAAATAATGAATATGAGCAAACAGTACAGATTTTAGGGCTTACAGAACATCACAGTCTGAGTCTCTGTGTTTATTTTGTTCCCTGATATTCTCCTCTCGTTTRTGTCTCCCACTTTCTAATTTCTAGGTAATTTCTTGTGTTTTCAATGGRAACCTTCACTCAGGCTAYTTTTAGAACACTTGTCACGTGACTATGTCCACTTGATACTAATGCGCATAAACACTTGTAGATGCCTGATCTAGTTGTGTTAAAACTTAAATCAATTCAGGAAAATGGCATCAAACTCCACTGGGAGGACCACAAAACATTGTGCTACAGTTTATTATAAWGGTGACTCAGGATACAGCCATCATCCCAGCGTAACAGTAGTATTTTTGATCACTTTTCCCCAACTAAGATGCTCGGCTAACTGCTGGACTTAAGCAATGGGACGAGCTGAATTTGTAACACGTTCTCACTCTCGACTCATCAACATATTGACGCTTAGTCAGGTGCCGTCTGCATCCAGATTTGACTCGTCCTCTTTTTTTTCTGTTTATTGTGTATGTTCTTTTGTAAATGTGCACGTGCTCTTTGACTGTACAATATGCTCAGCTGACCTTGTCTCTCCACAAACAAGTCTTTGCTATTACCATTGTTGTGCCTCTCAGCAAAGGCATGCTAGCAAATTAAAAAAAAAAAAAAAAAAAAAAATAATAATAATAATAATAATAATAATAGGCTTTCAGCTTTCAGTTATGGAGGATGTTTATTTTCACATTATGAATCAAATAGATTGTATCAGTCAAATGTGTGGAAATTATGTCATACATATCAAAGTAATTCAGTGATAATCTAAAAACCTCTCTGAGCTCAAAATGTCAAAACAAATGTTATCTACTTTTGAGGTAAAGGGGAAGTTCCCTGTTTTGCAGTCAGTCATTTGTGTTATCTGCAGGGCATAAAAGACAGGGAAAATGTTAGGTTTTTATTGGTTAGTTTTAGTAATGGAATCATGGAATTGTGGTGGGTAATGATTTTACACTATTGCTTATCTCAACAGATCAAACCAGGTGTTTGGTAAGAACATCCAAAGTTTGTAAAACCTCTTGACAGAGTCAGCACTTTAGATGAAGCCACATCCTCCCTTGAGTACACACATGGCACACCATGCCGTGTGAAAAGAGCCAATTGTTTGTTCAAGAACAAAATGAAACCACTTTGGGTATTTAGGTGTGACATAACTGGATGGTTTTAGGTGCAGGTGTGACCAAACTTTGAATAGGAAAAAAAATGTTTAAACACCTTTAGCAGAAGAGAGAGGGGTGGAGAGTAAGAGAAAGAGAGGCAGACAGATAGGGGGAGCTTCAACAGGATATTTTGTCACCATAGTTACGGGAAGACGATATTAATCTAGATTTCTGAATGTCATGTTGTTTTCGCACGAGGGAGTGTGAGTGCTGAGTTGTTGGGCAACGCTTGTCACCATGATCAACTTTTGACAAACATTTTCACATCCTGTGGCTCAGGGTGACTTCAGTTAGGTCTGTGGAGCGGCATTTTCCTTCTGTGAGGTGAGTGTATTATCCAAACTTAAAGTAGAGCACGTGGTAACTTATTGTAAAAGTGTCTTTTGACTTAAAAATAACTCATTTAGTTAGTTTGCCTTAAAACAGTTCTGGAGGAAGGCGTTGTTTTCCAGTCATATAATGACTATTCTGCACATTAAGTAAAAGAAAAGCCCTTCTTCTTGATGCCTTTGGAAAAATAACTCTTTACTTTTATTTTTATTTTTGAAACGTTTTCCTTTTTTTCATTCAGACCAGCTTTTTCAAAAAAGTCACAAATGGCACGTACAGCTAAAAAAGGTGCAAATTTTGAGTATTACTGTGGACATTTTGAACTTTATTTCTTAAAGTAAATTCTAAAGGGATTGTGCAAACCACATGTTTGCATTAAGTTCTGTTTGGGGGTCCATAAAATGTGTTTTGTGCTGAAATGTACAAAAGCACAAAACTAGACCTGATGAAAGACTCAGATCAGTGACTAAAACAATCCTACATCCTTAGTATGAGCTCAAACAAAATGGGGAAGTAGGCCTATTTACACACAAAGGTCCATCTTTTAGCACCTCACATTTTTTGGCTGCGATAACCTGACTCTCCATTCAGGGTCAAACAAGTTATTGTTCGCTGACTTCCTTTGAGTCATTTTTACACTTGAATGACAAAGCAAGAAAACAGCTGTGCTTTTTTACAAGTCATAGTTATTTTTCTTTGGATGATACAAACATTATTTTCAACAAATATCAGCCATTAGATGCGCTTTGATACGCTGCTGTTTTAGTCTTTAGTCTCCAGCTTAGTTGGTTAGAAAGATCAAACTTCTGATCTACAGTGATGCTAACACTGGTTTTATTTGACAAAAATATTGTATAAGAAGATTTCGCAACATTTTTAGTTGAAAAGTAGTTGTACTTCAAAGCTTCAGAAGGATATCAGTGCATATCAGATTTGACTTTATTTGTCTATTTTTATTAGAAAAAGTAMATTTTTTAATCTTTTATAATGGGGTCACATGTTTAAAAAAGTGGGAAAAGTAGAGTTAATTTGGTCTGTGGAGAACTTTATTGGAAAGCRCTACTAGATGGCACTGTACTCCACAAAAACAAGAAAGATTAATGGCTTGTTTATTTGAATGATTTCACTGAGGCTCTCATAAGCTGACACTTTATTTGCTTAAAAATGGACTAGTTTTAAGACTTAAATGATGGAAAAATAAATAAAACTACTCTTGACCGATTAAAAGAATATAAATTGTTTTCAAATGTTCGACATAACATACCAGTATGTATAGTATTAGTTGTTTTTAATTAACTTTTGTATAAAAAAAATGAACACAAAACAGACTAAAACTAAAAGGACTAAAACTAAAGAAAAGGTGCTTCTGTCTCCAAACGGTTCTTTAAAAAATGAATGATGGAAGAAAGAAAAAAAACCTACAGTGGCTTCTCGTACTTCCCTTTTGAAAGCGAGTTGTTAAATGTGTGACTTTGCATGTGTTTTCAAGTTGTACAACACAAGAGTTTCATTTCAACATGTGTGCTCGGTGTGTTGCTTTGCTTTGGTTTCTTGAAAAATGATTCCTGCAGAAAATGAAAACATGAAGGTACAATAACAAAATCAACTTTAACAGAACTCTGTTTTACTTCCCTTTTTGCAGTTACTGGTTCCTGAAAAAATGGATACCRCTGCGACCTACAACACAACAGTCTCACCCAGCAATGTGACCTGTAAGACCCTCTATGACCACCGGAAATATGCTCGCATTCTCATACCTCTTGTGTACTTGGTCGTGTTTTCCGTGGGGCTGTTTGGGAACTGCCTCGCCCTCCACGTCATTCGAGCCAATCAGAAGAAGCTGAACTCCACTACTTTGTACTCTCTAAACCTGGTCATCTCTGACATCCTCTTCACTCTCAGTCTACCTCTCAGGATTATATATTATGCTCAAGGCTTCCACTGGTCTATGGGTGAAACTCTTTGCAAGATCTCAGGCTTTATCTTCTACATAAACACTTACGTAGGAGTCAACTTCATGACCTGCCTCAGCGTGGACCGTTACATCGCTGTGGTCCTGCCTCTGCGTTATGCCAAATTCAGGAAAGTCAGTAACGTTCGCTACATCTGTGTTGGTGTGTGGTTGTGGGTCCTGGCTCAGACCCTCCCTCTCTTCGCCATGCCTATGATCAGTAAAGAAGATGGAAACTTCCTCACCTGTATGGAATACCCCAACTTTGAGAAGGTGGACAACATTGCCASCACGCTGATTGGTGCTGTCTTCGTAGGTTATGTCATCCCCGTGGTCACAATCCTGGTGTGTTATTCTGTCCTGTGCTCCAAACTTCGCCTGACAGCCAAAACTAACCATTTGACTGAAAAGTCTGGTCGCAGTCGCAAGGCCATTGGTGTGATCTGCTGCGTCTCACTGGTGTTTGTCATCTGCTTCAGCCCTTATCACATCGACATTCTGCAGTACATGATTCGAAAGCTGGTGTCGAATCCAGACTGCGCCGATCTCACTGCCTTTCAGGTGTCGCTGCACGTCACATTGTGTCTGATGAATTTAAACTCCTGCTTGGATCCATTCATCTACTTTTTTGCCTGCAAGGGCTACAAAAGGAAGCTCTTGAGGCTGCTGAAGCGAAATGTCAGCATTTCCTTCTCCAGTGCAGTGAGAACATCACCTGAAGGCTCCTCCAAGGACTTCCTTGATGGTAACAAGATCCAACTCAACAGTGAGAGACTCACAGAAAGAAGATTAAATTCTGAGAGGAGAGGAGAGGACATGGATGTACTGGAACAGTGAGGGGCTTCTCAGTGTTTGGATCCACAGATTCTTTTTTCTCCAGACATTTTTCATAAAATTATTTTTGTCCTTTTTAATTTTTGTATATAAAAAAAAACTCCTTTACCAATCTTTTGTATTGTATATATGTGAATTGAGGATAAAAGGCAGAATTTCTGCAGCTATTGTGTACAGCAACAAGAGAACAAAACCTGTCTGCCTTTTGCCAGAAAACCAAGCTAATTGGATTAAAGGATTATGAAAGCACAGCATAGTGAAAGTGGACAGCCAGCTGATGGGAAGATGGATGAAATAAACTTCAGCGACTCAACATAAAAGTATACTCTAATTTCATAWTCCCAGCTGGTTGAAAAGTAATGACAAAGTGACAAAAGGATGAGAAGAGTTAAACTCATTGCGTCAGTATTTCCCTACAAGGACGTTTTCACAACAGCTCAGCAAGGATGTTACATTTAAGCAAACTGTCAAAGGGATGATTTAAAGAAATATATCAAACAGAAATCTGATATACGTTTCATTTTGACTATAAACCAAATAAAGTTTCTGGTCTTTTACTTTGGTTTCAGTTCAGTTCACAGAGCTGCAGGCCAAATCAAAATGTCTGCTTTATATTCTGATTTAAAAATATAAATAAATATAACATCTTATTTTCTATTTATAAAGCTGTCAATCAGTTTGAGGTCAATGTTTCAG